GATTTATTTAATATGAGCAACTTATATATATTGTTACAAAAACATTTAAATAACAAATAACATAAGCAAAACAAATCATACTTACAATTTTCTCAACAACTACTTTTGACACATCTGAGGTGTACTCTCCATTTGGTCTTAATCGAGTCATCTTCCACTTCTCATGTCTTGACGGTGGAGATGGATGCGAACATCTTCCATTTATTGTTTTTTTCAAGCATGATTGTTTTCTCAAGTTTCTTGTAGTCCCCACGAGACAATCTATGAGGAAACATGTTTTTTGCCATGTTTTGTATTCCTATTTCGCTTTTAACCTGTTATTCACATAGTGATAAATATGTATGATTATTATCTATAACTCATTAGCATAAAATTATTGGATAAATAAGACTAGAAGGCTTAAGATAGCACACCTAGAGAGATCCTATCTAGGCTAGCATGCCAAAGAAAGTATAACAAAAACTATCCTATGGGGAACATGCAATTAGAGCGAAGTCGTGATCTCAATTTCTAAATTGAGTGACTCATCGATCAACAAGAAATCAAGGAAAGTGATAAAATCCTATAGGGAGCATGCATTGAGAGCGAAGTCGTGATCTCAATTTCTAAATTTAGTGACTCATCGATCAACAAGAAATCAAGGAAAGCGATAAAATCCTATAGGGAGCATGCATCGAGAGCGAAGTCATAATCTGAATTTCTAAATTGAGTGACTCATCGATCAACAAGAAATTAAGGAAACAAACACAAGAACAATACATATAGAAAATAAAGTGCGGAATGTCTGCTACAGGTCTTCAAACAGCGACATCGAGTGCACGCTCTTTTTATTTCATGCTTCCTACTTTTCATAATCTCTAAAAAGTAATAAATAATTCAATAAGGAATGCGGTAAAAAGATATGAGAGAAATACCAAACGGATAATAATTCGTATCAAGCAAGAAAAAATAAGAAACATGGAAAATTTCGAGCAAGCTAGCTTCAACAAAGAAATTTAAGTGAGAATATGCGTTAAAGAATCAATAAGAAAAATCTGAATGTGTAGCGGACACATCCGTATCACAAAGTGCCTGCACAAAAATGCAATTACGCAAACCAAGAATGGAATGTGTATCAACACATCCGTATTCCCGAGCACATGCACAAAATACAACTATACAAGATACGGGGCACAAGACAATGGCATATGTGTCGAATTCAAAAATCAGACCACAAATCGAAAGTCCGAATAAGTTTTCCAATCAAATAATCGAGTAATAATTATATGATCGGAAAATGTCCAAATGTACCTTGCACAATCAACACACATGTTAAAAATAACAAGGAAAATTAAAGTATAAAAGAGTAGGAAGAAATTTGGAGCAAACAATAGCCAAAGCAAAGCCAAAGAAGCAAAAAAACAAAAATCGGAAAGATGCATCAACCGCAACAGGGAATGAGTCGACTCATGCTTGGAAAAAACAACTTGTGTCGACTGTTGGGTCGGCGCGACACTTCCCGCAGGCAGCCCGGACTGTTTGCATCGACCACAACAGCCTATGCGTCGACTCATGGCCAGGATTTTCTCAGCTTGCGTCGACCGCTGGGTCGGTGCAACACTTCCCTCAGGTGGCCATGACTGTTTGCGTCGACCGCAACAGGGTTATGCGTCGACTCAACTGCAGTCTTGTTTAATTGAAACTTTGAAACACCATAACTTTTGCATCGAGTTTCCGTTTCGCGCATGGTTAGAATCGTTGGAAAGCTTGAAAATCCTAGAATATCCACGGCATGAAACGGAAACCAAAACAACAAAAATTATACGACTAATTTCCCGATCTTACCACGATCGACATATGAATTCGTGATTCAATTTCATGAGTTTCGCTGCAATTTTCATCGGATCAAAAACCAAATTCACATCAATTATGCTTTGACCATAAAACAAGGAAATTTATAAGCAACCAAAAATAAATTGAATCACGCGGTAAGATCAAGGCACAATGGCTCAAGTATTTTGTCAAACACATAATCTCCAAAATTTAACTCATGATTTTTGCACAACTAGAGATCCAAATTATACCACACATAATCAATCAAGTATCATCAATTAAGCTTGAAACAACTTCAACATTTTTGTTTTCTCAAATAAGCACTTTCATGAAAATCAATTAATTGAATAAGCACTTATTTAATCATCCCATTCCGCATTTGCACATCATAATTCAAGATCAATTCACATTTTCATAATCGAAATCACTTCCATAATTCAAATTAGATCAAAGTTCAATTTATTGATCCATAAAAGTGCTTAATTAAGAATCACTTATTTGAAAAGTGCTTAAATCAAGAAAAACTTACCGTAGAATTGAAGAGGAAGCTTAGGTATAGAAATCGCAATAATCGGATTCGAGATCGGAGAAGAATTGAGCTTCTTTGACTTTTTGATCTTGAAAAAGTTTTTGGTGTTCTTGATGAAAATGAGAGAAAGTTGCTCTTTGATCCTTAAGCAAGATGAGAGAAAGTTTTTGAGTGTTTTTGAGTATGGATCAATTATGAGACTCTTTTTTGAAATTTGGAGGGAATACGATTATATAGTGTGCCCTTTTTTTGAATGAATGAGCCACAAGCAAATGTGCAAATTTTAGTTCATCAGAGTCCGACACCTTGAGGTCAAACTCGCAGGTCCCTCGGTGCAACTTTTGAAGTTGAAATGTGAAACTAAAGTGTAGCTAACATCAAGAACAACATCGTGTCCGAAGATAGGCTCAATCGGATAAACAGTGACTTAGTTATGGTTTTTTGAAGTTTCGTCTCAAATGAAAATATTTCTCGGTTCAAGATTTTCAAATGCGTTGCGCGCGTTTTAGACCAAAAACGAAGGCATTCGGGATACCGTTCGAATTGGAAAGCTGAAAGCAAAATTTAGAAACCTTAATTTATGCGCAAAATCCACTGGAACCAGCTTGATATGATAAGAATCGACTGAGTTATGAATTTCTGAAGATGAAGTAGGTGAACATTTATCACAATTTTCTTGTGCGAACATATTTGAAAGATTCATATATTCGAAGAATCTCTGAGTAGAACTGGATTTTGGCCGTGAGATAAGAAATGTAGATGACATCAAGACGTAATTTTGGCCACTGAAACGGGTTCAAAACCATAAACGGTCTTTGAGTTATGAATTTTCTAGTGCGCCAAAACTGCACTTTCAGCATATTTTCCTTTGTATTTTTCACCATATAACTTCCAAAAGAACCGTGTATTCGGAAACTTTCCTTTGAGAATTAGATTTTGGTCCGAACATGTAAATTGAAGAGAACATCGAGATAGTTTAAAAACCTCAAGAATCAACCCAAAACACCATTCAAAGCTGAAGATGCTAACTTTCAAACTCAGATCAGTTAAAATAGTGCTTCCAATTCACATTGTTTTAAATTCACCGAAATAATACTCACACTCGTAACTCCCTGGTTGTTTCCCCGTCTACAAATTTAAATAATAATTACATGAATATAACCACACATGAATATAAACAATATATATAAATGAAAGAAACAAATTATTGGACCACTTTCCTCCCTCACTTAATCGTTTTTTCACGTACTCTTGAATGACTTTGAATCATTATTTGTCTATCGAATACTAAATGGATCCAAGATTCCATAGATATCTGATTTATTTAACATGAGCAACTTATATATATTGTTACAAAAACATTTAAATAACAAATAACATAAGCAAAACAAATCATACTTATAATTTTCTCAACAACTACTTTTGACACATCTGAGGTGTACTCTCCATTTGGTCTTAATCGAGTCATCTTTCACTTCTCATGTCTTGACGGTGGAGATGGATGCGAACATCTTCCATTTATTGTTTTTTTCAAGCATGATTGTTTTCTCAAGTTTCTTGTAGTCCCCACGAGACAATCTATGAGGAAACATGTTTTTTGCCATGTTTTGTATTCCTATTTCGCTTTTAACCTGTTATTCACATAGTGATAAATATGTATGATTATTATCTATAACTCATTAGCATAAAATTATTGGATAAATAAGACTAATACTAGCCTTGAATTTCTCAGAACGACGGTCCCTCACAATTTTTTTTTATTTCTTCTTCGATACAAAACTATATTTTATCCATGGACGAGCAAGACCTCTCTTAGGCTTTCTAATGTAGTCAAGCGTGAACCGTGACTTAAAACCCCTACATTAAGTACCGGCATAAGTGATCTACTTTTTTTTTTCAAATTTGAGTCAACGATAAAATTAAAATTCAAATACATTTAAATCAATAAGATGTGATATATTTATAATGTATTAGTCTGAAAATTATGACTTGTAATGATGAATTATGGGTTTAAGCAATTTGTTTGGACAAATAATTATAATAATTGAGATGAATGTGGTTAAGGTGTAATTCACAACTCAAAAAATTTAAGAAAACTATTTGCTTACAAAATCTCAGAACAAATTAAAAAAATATACATATGATAAAAATTAGGCAATTCTTCAATTTGGAAAAATTAGAAATTATTTTTCTTTTAAGAGATTACGTGAAAGAGAGTTAGTCCCACATTATTTCATATGAATTAGCTTATAATTGAGCATAATAATTCTATTGTACCCATTGTTTTGCTTTATTTTTGTTGGTTTTGTTTTAGTTTTGTACTAATTCATATTTACTTACTTTTGGTAATTTTGCATTTGTAAGCAATAGTTTGGGCGATTGTCAAGAATCTTTTTATATTCACACTATAACGTTTATTTCTTTAAAAAGTTTAGGTGAAAATTGTATGTGTTCATTAATTGAATTACTTAAAATATTAATAGTGTGCATTTTATTTCTCCTATAAATACTTGCCTTAAGGAATTTTATAATCAACAACTTACAGAAATCAATATTGAACTTGTTTAAAATGAAGTTGTTACTATCATTATTATACTCTCTCTTTTACTTCTTACAGTCTTATTTTTGTTATTCTGCAAATATTAACTTTGATTACTTCATGTTGGCCGAAACATGGCCAAAATCCTTCTGCAAGCAAAATAAATGTATCGCAAATGTACCATCAGAGTTTACTATACATGGTTTATGGCCTAAGAACAACACCCCACCTGACACATATTATTGTAAAGGAGAATTATTTTTGGTATGTATATCTCCTAGCTTTAATTTATTATTATTATTATCTTAAAAATATTATTATAATTTCTTTTTATCTTAAAAATATGACGACTTATTTTTATTTATTTTACCAGCTCAACCCATTCCAGAAGCTTAACACTGTTTGGCCGAATCTAAAGGGGATCAACAAGGAACTTTGGAGGTACGAGTGGAAAAAGCATGGCACTTGCTCAGAAATGGTTCTAGTTGATTACTTTAATCACGCAATAGTTCTCTATGAGAAAAATAATATCAAAGACATTCTAAAGATGCCTCTAACACCAGGTGGAGCGGCGGCTCTAATACCGGGTGGAATCGCGAATTCAGCTGATATTGAGATGCATATAAAGTCAGTCACTAAATTTAAACCACAACTTCATTGTGAAATGAATTCTGCAGATTTGATGCAAGTTAGTTTGTGCTTTGATACCGATCTATCAAATCCCTCCTATATAGATTGTCCTTCTCTTTCTGTCTGTCCAGCTCGTATAAGTTTACCATTATAAATACAAATATACTAATAATGAATAAATAATACTTATTGCTTTTGATTAGCAAATTATTATGATGAATTGTGTGTTTAAGCTATTTGCTTGGACAAACAATTATTATAATTTAGATGAATAAGGTTGAGGCGTGATTTTATTATAATGTATTACTTTCAAAGTTATGACTTGTAACAATGAATTGTGTGTTTAAGCTATTTATTTGGATAAATAATTATTATAATTAAGGTGTCACTTATTTATGATGTATTAGTCTCAAGATTATGACTTGTGTTTTTTCTCTTTCATAAAGTAGCAGTTTTATAATGTTCTTTAAGATAAAGATTACAATGATGCACATATTAGTTATGTTTCGGATTTTAAATAAAACCATAGAATAGATTACAAAAATGTAAACACAAGATAATCTGTTGAAACAAAGACAATGTTGTTTCAAAAAATTTAATTATGAATGTATAGTTGGTATGCAAATGGTAAATACCTTGGTGTCTAGAAACTCTATGGTCTACTTACTTATTCATGTCCTTTGGTTTTTTATCTCTTATTTATAGGATCTTAACAAGATGATTCTTTTGAATTTCATGTGAAAACATGATGTTTCAGCAAAGATTATTTTTTCAACAACACCAAATAAAGAGGCCTGAATCGTAGAAACAGAGAGCAGTCCACTAGAAGAGCAGCAAATTCTATAGCACAGGATTCCAAATTTTAGAGGGCCTCTAAAATTTCAAATGTTCAATTTCTTTTACATTAATATTAATAAATATAAAAAATATTATAAAAAAATCAATAAATAAAAAAATATTATGATAAAAACTTAATATATTGAAAAGATTAAATTGATCAAAGTCAAAATAATTATAATTGAATCTTTTTTATTAATATATAATTTGTATTTGTATTTTTCATTTTTAATTATTATATCCATTTTTTAAATTAGAACGGGATTTCCAATTTAATTGGGCTGGCCTTGGTTACATGCGCCGACGAGTGAAGAGAGTGGAGTCGGCATGTGGAGGCGCAATAAAAAACTTCTAACTACTCAATTTTTATAGACGATTTCAGATCTCTAATTGGCCGCATTGAAGTGTTGAATATCCTTCTTTGATAAATATCTGGTGGTGAAATTCAAACCTTCAAAAAGACCAACTTCTCAAAAAAAGGCACATTATACTAATTGTAACAGGGATTTTCTATTGAGGAGATCAAAACTATGAATTTACTTCCGATGCAGAATTGAAAAGAAAATATTTAACAAACATTATATGGTCCACTATTCAATTTGACGAGTAATATACCATATTCAAACCAATTCTCATTTTACCCGCTCTTAAATATGTTAATGACTTTAAGAAACCAATTCTACAACTGTGTTAATCTCCTCAAAACAAGATGACTACTTATACAAAACAAGATAACTATATCATATTACATGTCTAAAATAAAAACCAAACCACTTTTAAAGCAAACACATAATAGACTATCAATATAATATTGATAATGGTCTATTAATTTTTCATACACATAATAGACGATCATAATTTTAATATGAGGGATTGACAACTCTCTTTATAACATTGAAAGTAAAATTAACCTAATAAACACAATCTCTTATCTATTATCTCTTATATGAAAACAAGTGAGTTATCTAATGATTTATTTATCCAATTGAAACGAGACTTTCTTTATAAATTATTATTTTAGAATTTTTCGCTCGTTTAACACCATAAAGATACTTAATCATTTGGATGCATAAATCAAATGAGATTAGTTCTTTTCCATCTTTCTTTGCGAAGAATATATCACCATTCTTTCCCGCTCAAATAAGATACTTAATATCGTTGAACAAGGGTCCAACAACAAAGATTTTACTCCAAGATTCCTTCACATCAAATTTTCCTAAAATTGATATGTGAAAAGTATTTGTATACCACACAATCGAAACAATGGATCCGTTTAACAACACCAACATATGATACACTCAGTTATTGGGATCAGTGTCTAAGGGCATCAATGTGAGTATGAGTGTGGTCAAACAAACTTCATTGGTCAACTCAAATGACACCAAGTATTGTTCATCGTATTCTCCATAAGAGTTAGAGAGTCAATGACACATTCCATCCAAAACACAAAACACAAAAGCCAAGTTTGTCTTGTTGAAATGGATTTGGAAAGTCCAATTTAACTTTATTCTCAAACCTCTCGCCGGAAGGTGAATGCGAAGAGAAACGGGCGTATTTACGATTATGATTACAAACAATTTGATGCAGGAGGAGAGATGTATAATTGTAGTAAGAGTCAGCAATGAATATGAAATTATTACAAAACTTTATCATAAAGTTAGGGTTTTCAAACAAAATAGACCATGTTTTGTTTACACATCCAAAGCGCTTGAAAGATTTTAAAGAAAGTTTTGATAGAGTGGAGAAAGCAAGATCATCAGGTATGTGATTTCTTAACTTCTCATTTAGAGATATCGCCATATTCGTTGACAGAGCAAAATATACAGGGAGATAAAACGTTGTTTTTGCAAATGCGAAAACAATGACCGAAGTTGAATTTCTTATTTACTCACTGGAAAAATTATTCTTGACTATTTATTTATACATAAACAGTACTTAATTAAGAAGTAATTTTTTTCAAAGAGAAGTAATTGCAGAATTTCCTTTTTTTCTCTTGTTTTTTTTTTGGTAAAATTGCAAAAATATTTACTCCCTTGAATAATTTGGTTTCTCCACTTTCTTGTTTACCTCATAATTTTATTAATTTGCAATATTATCTTTTAAATTTCAATTTTTTTTCATTCATAAAACATAATATTTTACTTTTTTTAATTGATTCTAAATTTATTTTTTTCTTTCTTTTCATAAAATATTCTAAATTATATAAAATTTTACAAATTTATTTATACATTTGCAATATTATACTTTATTTTACCATCTATTTTAATTCAAAAAAACATAATATTTTTAACTTTTTTAATTTATTCTATTTTTCTTTCATGTTTTAAAATATTTTTTCTTTATTTTCTTTAAATATTCTAAAAATATAAATTTTACTAAGTTATTTATTCATTTTAAATATTATAGTTTATTTTACAACCTTTTTTCATTCAAAAAAACATAATATTTTAACTTTTTTTTAATTTATTCTATTTTTATTTTATTTTTTTATATATTTTTTCTTTACTTTCCTACAATATCCTAATAATATATAAATTTTACTAATTTATTTATTCATTTGCAATATTATTATTTGTTTTACAATCAATTTTACTTTTTATAACTGATTCCATTTTTCTTTTTTATTTTCGTAAATATTCTAAAAAATTATAAATTTTACTAAATTATTAATTCACTTTCATTATTATACTTTATTTTACAATCTTTTTTCTTTCAAAAAAACAAAATATTTTACTTTTTTTTATTATTTTCTTTCTATTTTTTCTTTCTTTTCATAAAATACGCAAAAATATATATTAATTCCAAATAAAATTTGTATGTTTTTATTTACAAATATCTATTCTATTTGGTTATTTTAATTTAAATAAGAAGTAACATTATTAAGTTGGATTGTGCATTTCCTATTAATTTTATCATTGAGGTAAAAAAAAATTCATCATTTTATCAACTTATCCTCTCTCTTTTTCTTAACGAAAGCTTTTATTTTCTCTTAAATGCTTCTAGTTTCCTCTATTTCTTTGTATAATTAAAAAAAATATCTAAGTGCTATTGATATGTAATATTTGTATATGACTCTAATTGATAAAAATAGTTGTTGGTTGATAAGCTAATTGATAATGTATAACTTATGGTTGATGGTTGAGGGGTGATAGGTTATAACTCATAGTTGATGGTAGTAAAGCGAACAAAACACGTGTTTAATAAATTAATGATAAAAACATTAAAGAATTGAATATGAAAATAATTAAAAGTGATTACGAAATTAAATATGCTCTGAAGGGAGACTTTGATCTAATTACAACAATAGAAATGGAAACTCAAAAGTGCACAATTTTAATGTTGAATTTTAAACTAAATATAGTGCAAATGAACTTGGATGACTTCACAATGAATTACATACCTATTTATACTGAATTTCGCACTCTAAATGCTCTATAAACTAAACAGAATTGTGGGCAAACATGGAGAAGTGGATTGAAATGTCAACTAAAAACGAAAAAAAACTATGTGATTGGAAATCATGATGCATGACAGTGTGTCTGCCATGATGTGGGGTTTCTTTTCCGAGCTTTGGGCCCATGACAGGCGTCAGCATTGCTTGCGGTGCTGATGGGATGCTCGTCATAGGTTCTTTCACTTATGTTCTTTGGTTTCCACGTTAAGGCCATGACAATCTTCCTTCTTGGGCCATGATGGGCGACATTCCCACATGTTATCCATTCTGATTCCTTTATTTTCTTGCTTTTTGTTCGTTTCTCTCTGCGATGATACGTATCCTTCAGGGCCTGTAATGCAAAGTAAAATCCCAGCTTATTGCAATGAAGGAAATGTAAATTGACACTGAAACTACTAAAATCAAGTTAATTAATACGGTGAGAATGATTGTTATCAAACTTTCCATACTTGAATTATTGTTGGTCCTCAAGTAACTTAGCTTTCATAAAATAAATGTAAATGTAGTAACAAATATGAAAAGAGCCTATGAAAAATACTAACACAAAATCTCATACGTGATCCAAAATTCGAATTGGTTAAATTTTAATTCTTTTGGTACTCAAGTTCACACAAAGGATAATGTATGAACATAAACCACAAATTATGGACTAAAGACTCCCGCAAAATATGTCAAATTAAGCAATGACCTTGTACCTAAGTCTCATTATCCAAAAAATTTCATTTCTTTTCAACAGAGGCTATCATATTAAGGCAATAAATATATAGATAATTATCACACATACATAAGTAAAAACAAAGTAATTTTTGTTTCTTTATTCATTCATGCATGCAAATTAACTTTTGATCATAAGTATATATGGTAATTCTCTAATTTTGTGATTGGTATTATGTTTGGTAAAACTAACTTAGCAGCAACATGTTGAACAAGATGTTTTAGCTTGTATTTTCAACATGTGGAATATGATGTCCTAACCAGAAGTGTAGGACATGTGGTCTGTTACAGTTTTTACAATTTGGATATAAGTGATTTAAGTTATTCAATATTATTGGAATATTAAGTAATCCTATGTGGTGTCCAAGATGGAGGAATCAGAGATGTTGATTAAGATGTTCTATAATGCAGAAAAATATGTTAGACAAGAAATGTAACACCCAAATTCTACCCCAAGCAATTATATAAATAAATCAGAGTTATAAAAATCATTCATGCAAACAAATCGGGACGTCACAAATTCTTCTATCAAAATTCATTGCATTCATCGTGGATATATATAACACTTTTTAAAACATCGGATAAACCATCATCATAACATCTTTAATTAAACAACTCAACATCTACGCAACGAAATTCTTAATAACATCTCTAACAACAAAACAACAACTTCGAAACATCACATATTTAATAATAATCAATTTAAAGTTCAACAA